CTATGAGTCTGATTCGACTCAACAACAGTGTGTAATCCATTTTTCTTTACTCAGAAGTCTTCTCTGATTTACTTCTTAATTCTTTCTCTTATGCTAATCACCTCTTCTGAGTACCCAGCTCTCTCTGACCTGTCCAGCACTTCAGTGTTACCATCTTTCTAGCCCTCCTGAAACTACTTCTTGAATTTAACAGCGATTTCTTCCTGCTTATTTCATCTCTTCTTGGTTCTTACCCTACCAGCCCCATCCTTGCATCAACATTTTGATTATTTGTTTTCCCTGTTCTGTGTCCCTCCTCCCTCTCCATAAACATGGCAATTATTCATAAACACCTGACAAAAATCGCTAACCCTGTATAATTGTCTAGCCAGTGTCTATCAGTTAATCTAGTAAAGTCTCATGTACTTGCTTTGTATTGAACACTTTCACCAGAACTGAAAAATACAGCCTAAATTAATCTTGTACCAAAATCAGTGTTAGGTTTTTAAGTATCATAATGCTTAATTTAGTGTTGTTAGATGTTAATCAAAACAAGCTGTCTGAGAAGGTCTGATTAGCATATATATTGTTAGCAGAATAGGGACTGAAGACAAAAATTCTTGAATGTATTTGCAGTTGATTTCTGACTTCAGTGTGGACTTGTAACAATTGCCAGCGATCCAGGTAAAATTTGATCCCAGCCCACCATAACAGTTTTTTGTGTTTTTAACTTCTGCTTTTTAAATTTTTTCAGGCATACTGCAGAGGTGATAAACAGACCCCCAGTATTGTCACTGGCTGACTTTGTTAGCTATCCTAGAATCAGCCTTGAAGGAAAGCCTTTCTCATCCAGTTACAATTTGTAAGTTGCTTTCACAAAACTGTCATTAAACTGAAGAGTAAAGTCTGAAAAAGGATTGAAAAGAGGTGGTGAGGGAAGGAATAATCATAAGAGATGGCTTTCCTTTTATGTCATTCTGTTGTAGGAGGTGGAGGCAAGCATTTATCAAGAGTGCTCTCCAGGGCTACGTGCCCATTTACGAGCCAAGAAAACTACCGTTTAGGGACTATAGATCAGGTCTACAAAAAGAGAAAGAAGAACCAATTATGTTGATTCTACTGCAAGATAATAGAAAGACTATCTGGATGAGACTAAGTGTCTTCTTGAACGGGATGGCATACTGGACAGAAGGACGACATCCAGCACTCTAGAAGGAACATTCACATAGCTTGTTGGAATATAGGTCCCATCTCTTAGAGACAGCTGAACTGTTAGGTTTATGTGATCCAGTGTGATCCAGGCACTTGACTGCTAACCAGAAGGCTGGCGGTTCAAACCCACCAGCCGCTCCTCGGAAGGAAGATGGGGCAATCTACTTCCGTAATGATACTGCCTCGGAAATCCAAGGAGGGGTCGCTATGAGTCAGGTGTGACTCGACGGCACATAACAACAACAACAACAAGTGTGATCCCCAGACCTGTCACCCCAATGTTGGTTGGCTATGTTGCCTGAAGTCTCAGCTTTGAGGCAGGAAGAGGCAGATGCACCAAGATGGCAGTCTGGTAGGAGATAAGGCAGCCATGTTTCTTAAAATATGAAGTAGGGCTTCTTGGGGAATACATTTGCTTTTTTCCCATATTCACACAGAATTCTGGAACATTGTGCTCTGCAGTCTTATAAAGAAAGATCCAATTGTAATTGGAAATTGCAAAAGGGCAGAATTAAGGTTAACTTCAAATTTCCTGCTTCTCATGCAATTAAATTCTCCCCCATGCCACTGATTTAATGTAATTTTACCCCATATAATTGAGCATAAATTACTGAGCAAATATGGGATAAGTCGATATGGACCATACAGAGATAATGAAGTGAAATTAGTAAGAAGTTATAATTATAGTACTTGGATTTTTAAGGAGCAAGAATAATGTCGTTAAATCAATGAAATATTGACAAAGGAATCTATTAACATATCAGACTGTGAGAAATGAATTTCTAATTCAATTATTTTTTGCAAAACAACTATTAAAATAATAACTTTTTGAAAACCTCAAGGAAAAATAACTCTTTTCTTTCTCAATACTACTCTTGTTTCTTTTAGTACTTTTTTTTTCTTTCTTTCTTTAGCTATCTGCTGCAGGTGCAAGGAATGACTTCAGAAATGAGACATCATCCATTTGGAGTCGCCCCCCTCCATTTGGCCTGTGTGATCCATGTTTTTAATAATAGTTTTGTTATTGTTTTTATTGTTTATTTTAGTCAAAACAGCAACAGACAGAGTCTTCGAAGGAAAACAGAGGTTGTAAGAAATAAATCTTTCATTAATGGTTTTAATAGGGAGATTGGGATTCTGGAAGAAATGGACTGAAGCTACCCATAAACAAGTAGAAATAGGACGACTGGCTCCATGAGTGTAGAGATGGTTATACTCTAGTGTAATGATAGGAAAAGAACACCTAGTCATACAGATTGCTTGTAGATTTCCATTTCTCTGTAATTCCTTCTGTTTTGTAATACAAAGACTGTGTTGTTGTTCCCATCTCCTACATAGAGTTCAGTCAGTCTCAGCAGAGCCCTATGCTGACATTCTTCCTGCAGACTGGGTTTTATAGGGATCTGGAGTGGCTCTAAATTAGAATTGTCATATATGGTCATCTGGGATTACATGTGTGTCCTCTCTAAAGGACCCAGTTAAAATGATCATTTCCAATTCATTTAAAGAAACACTTCAAGTTTAAAGCTTATTTGTGTTCAATGTCATTAAGTTCCAAGGAAAGTTAAATAACGTTCTTATTTAATTCATGTTCTGTATTTATCCAAAATATGTCTCACCAAACTCCGATGACAGAAGATTGAGAATAGGATTACCAGATTTAGCAAATAAAACTACAGAACACTCAGTTAAGTTTGAAGGTCAGGTGAACAAGAAACCATTTTTTAGTCTAGTATATCCTCAGTTTAACTGGGTATCCTGTATTTTATATGGCAACTCTGTTGTTGTTCGATGCCATTGAGTTGGCTCCGACTCAGTGACCCTATGTACAAAAGAAAAAAACACTGCCTAGTTCTGTGCCATCCTCTTACTCATTTCTGTGTTGAACTCGTTGCTACCACTGTATCAATCCACCTTCTTGAGAGTCTTCCTTTTTTTCTGCAGACCCTCTAATTTACCAAACATGTTGTCCTTCTCCAGGGATAGTCCCTCCTGAAAGCATGTCCAAAGTACATAAAACAAAGTTTCACCATCCTTGCTTCTAAGGAGCACTCTAGCTGAATTTCTTCCAAGACAGCTTTGTTCATTTTTTCTGGCAGTCCATGTTATTTTCAGTATTCTTTGCCAACATTACAAGTCAAACACATCAATTCTTCTTCTGTCTTCCTTATTCATTGTCCACCTTTCATATGCTTATATTACTGATGTTGTTAGGTGCCCTGACGTAGGCTCTGACTCATAGTGACCCTACATACAACAGAACGAAACACTGCCAGGTCCTGTGCCATCCTCTCATCCTTACTATACCTGAGCCTATTGCTGCAGCCACTGTGCTATTCCTTCTTATTGAGGGTCTTCTTCTCCTTGTTCTCTGACCCTTCACTTTGCCACGCATGATATCCTTTTCCAGGGAATGGTCCCTTCTGACAACATGACCAAAGTAGGTGAGACAAAGTCTGGCCATTTTCACTTCTAAGTAGTAATCCGGCTGCCCTTTTACCAGGACATATTAGTTTGTTCATTTTCAGCATTCTTCTCCAATACCACAATCCAAAGGCATCAGCATCAACTCTTCTTCAGTCTTCCTTGTTCGTTGTCCAGCTTTCACATGCATATGAGGCTATTGAAAATACCATGGTTTGAGTCAGACACACCTTAGTCTTCACAGTAATATTTTTGTTATGTAACACTGTAAAGAAATCTTTTGCAGCAGATTTGCCCAGAGCAATATGCTGTCTGATTTCTTGATTGCTGCTTCCATGGACATTAATTTGGGATCCAAGTAAAATGTAATCCCAGATACCTTCAATCTTTTTCTTTATTTATTGTGACGTTGCTTATTCGTCCTTTATTTATTGTAACGTTGCTTATTGGTGAGGATTTTCACTTTCTTTATGTTGAGGTAGAACCTATTCTGAAGGCTGTGATCTTTGATCTTCATCAATAAATGCTTCAAGTCTTCTTTGCTTTCAGCAAGCAAGGTTGGGTTTTCTTTGTATCTCAGGTTGTTAATGAGTCTTCTTTCCGCCAATCCTGATACTGCTTTCTTCTTCATATACTCCAGCTTCTCAGATTATTTGCTCAGTGTAAAGATTGAATAAGCATAATAAAAGGATACAACCCTGACACACTTTTCCTGATTTTAAACCACACTGTATCCCCTTGTGTGTGTGTGTGTGTGTGTGTGAGTTGTGCCTTTCAGTTGAAGCAAATTATTTTAATTGATTAATATCCAACAACTGATGGTTTGCACAGTGGCACTATACGAGGCTGCAGATAGAGGTGGGGACTCATGAAGCACCTTTGGAATTGTGGGCATCTTTGCTTTTCTATTAGAATATGAACCATCTTGGTTTTTGTCATGTGTTTCCATAGAGCAAGGCAAGAGAGTTGAAAGTTAGTCTGTACTGGTCTCTAGGAGTTCAGATTGTTCAATATGTACCAGAATATCTGATAACGTTCATGATGAGGAGACTTTTGTTAAGTCAGAAGGTTAGTTCTTTATGCTATGACTAGCATTTTAAAAATAGTTAACCACAAAATGAAATAAACCATTGGGTTAGGTTAAAACAACAAACATTACATTTTTCAATTTGTTCATGGTTTATACAAAACAAATCTCTTTTAACTGATTGGATTGAAACTCTGATAAATTAATAAATTAGTATATAGTCTAATAACTCAGCTTAGGTCCAGTTTCCTTAGCAGGTGAGTTGTCAACAGCTGGGAACACTCTGTCTCTGGCATAGTTCCGGTCAGAGTTATTTATTGATGGACATCTTTAATGGTTTGCTTTTTTCTTATTCCAGGATTTCCTTCAAATACTATTGGAGAACATCCCAGAAGAAAAAAGGTGAGGCCCAATTTAGGAATTAAGAACCCAGTTTTGCTTTGAATGCTAAAAATGACCTTGCCTTATTTTGACTTATTACAAGCTAGAAAGTTAAATCTTTCTCTCTCAATAGGGGGTAAGGGCCTAGCCTTGGCAGTGGGAGTCATAGGACAAATCAGCCAGACTTAGAAAGGCACCCACATGGATAGTTGGAGCCAGCAGGCAAGCCAGGGACAGTCTGTGGCTCAGCTGTGATGGGAAAGACTAGATGGGAAAGTTCTAAAGTTAAGATGAATTCATCAGTGTGACTTAATATAAAGAAACCCTGTATAACTGAAGGTGAAAATGTAGCAGAGTAATAAAAGCCTGAGTTATAAAGTCAGGCTTACATTGGTCCTAACCTCACCTCATTCATATCCCAGCTATGAGTTTAAATCCTCCAAATTTCAATTTTCTAAACCTCTCTGATTGCCCAACCTTCCTTCCGAGGAGTGGCTGGTGGGTTTGAACCTCCAACCAGAAGGCTGGCGGTTCAAACCCACCAGCCACTCCTCGGAAGGAAGGTTGGGCAATCCTACTTCCGTAGTGATACTGCCTCGGAAACCCAAGGAGGGGTCGCTATGAGTCGGGGCCGACTCGACAGCACACAACAACAACAACAACAACAAACCTCTCTGGCAGAGGCTTAAGTAAAATTAGAGATAAAGTGAAAACTAGGTCTTCTATTAATGATTTGTGATTGATTTGTCACAATTATTTTAACAATAACTATCTACTATGCATCAGGCACTGTGTATGGGATCTGTTGTTATTGTGTTATTGTGTTATTCTGACTCCTAGCAACCCTATGTACGGCAGAACGAAACCTGCCCAGTCCTGCAACATCCTCACAATCATTGCCATGCTTGAGCCCATCATCACAGCCACTGTATCAGTCCATCTCATTGAGGGTCTTCCCATTTTTCACTGATCCCCTACTTACTTGGCATGATATTCTTCTCCAGTGACTTGTCCCTTGTGACCACATGACCAAATTGTGTGAGGCACACTTTGGCCATTCTTGCTTCTGAAGAGCATTCTAGCTGTACTTTCTCCAAGACAGATTTGTTCGTTCTTTTCGCAGTCCATGGTACATTCAATATTCTCCACCAATTCCATAATTCAAATGCATCAGTTCTTCTGTGGTCATCCTTATTCATTTCCCAGCTCTCACATGCATATGAGGCTATTCAAAATACCCTGGCTTGGGTTAGGCACACCCTAGTCTTCGAAGTGACATCTTTGATCCTAAATATTTTAAAGGGATCTTTTGCAGCAGATTTGTCCAATGCAATATGTCATTTAATTTTTTGACTGCTGCTTCCGTGGGTGTTGATTGTGGATCCAAGTACAATGAAATCCTTGGTAATTTCAATCTTTCATCCATTTATCATGATGTTCATTAACGGTCCAGTTGTGAGGATTTTTGTTGTCGTTATCTTTGAGGTGCAATCCATACTGAAGGCTGTAGTCTCTGATCTCCATGAGTAAGTACTTTAAGTCTTCTTCACTTTCATCAAGCAAGTTTGTATCATCTATTTATCCTAGGTTGTTAATGAGTCTTCTTTCAATACTGATGTTGTGTTCTCCTTCATATAGTTCAGATTCTCCAGTTATTTGCTCAGCATACCGATTGAATAAATGTGGTGAAAGGATACAACCCTGACACACACCTTTCCTGATTTTGAATCATGCAGTATCTCTTTGTTCGTTCAAACGACTGCCTCTCAGTTTATGTACAGGTTCCTCATGAACACAACTAAGTGTTCTAGAATTCCTATTCTTTGCAATGTTAATGATAATTTGTTAGGATCTGCACCATCTAATGCCTTTACATACTCAATAAAACACAGGTAAACGTCTTTCTGGTATTCTTTGCTTTTAGCCGAGATCTATCTGACATCAGCAATGGTATCCTTCATTTCATGTCTTCTTTTGAATCAAGCTTGGATTTCTGTTAGTTCCATGTCAATATACTGCTGCAACTGTTTTTTAGTTATCTTCAGCAAAATTTACTTGCGTGCAATATTAATGATGTTGTTTGATAATTTCCACATTCTGTTGGATCATCTTTCTTTGGAATGGGCATGAATATGTGTCTCTTCTAGTCAGTTGACCAGGTAGCTGTCTTCCAAATTTCTTGGCGTAAATGAGTGAGCACTTCTAGTGCTGCATCCATTTGTTGAAATACTTCAATGAGTATTCTGTCATTTCCTGGAGCCATGTTTTTTGCCAGTGGCTTCAGTGAAGCTTGGACTTCTTCCTTCATTACTATTGGTTCTTGATCATCTGCTACCTCCTGCAATGACTGAACAGAGACCAATTCTATTCCTTCCATCTTCTTTTAATGCTTCCTGCATTGTTTAATATTTTCCCCATAGAATCCTTCAATATTGCAACTCAGGGCTTGATTTTTTTCTTCAGTTCTTTCAGCTTGAGAAATGCTGAGCATGTTCTTCCCTTTTGATTTTCTAACTCCAGGTTTTTGTACATTTCATTACAATACTTTGTCTTCTTGAGCTTCCCTTTGAAAACTTTTGTTCAGCTCTTTTATTGCATAATTTCTTCCATTTGCTTTAGCTACTCTTAAATCAGGAGCAAGTTTCAAAAGTCTCCTCTGACATTCATTTTGGTCTTTTCTTCCTTTTCTGTCTTTTTACTGACCTTTGTCTTTCTTCATGTACGCTGTCCTTGATGTCATCCCACAACATGTCTGGTCTTCAGTCATCACTGTTCTATCCATCAAATCTATTCTTCAGATGGTCTCTAAATTCAGGCAGTTCAAGCCCTCCAGCCACTCCTTGGAAGGAAGGTTGGACAATCTACTTCTGTAGTGATACCACCTCGGAAACCCAAGGAGGGGTTGCTATGAGTTGGATCCAACTTGATGGCAGTGTGTGTGTTTTGTTGTTGTTGTTGTTTTTGTTTTAATATACTAAAGGTGGTATTTTGGCTCTTGTGGACTTGTTTTAATTTTCTTCAGCTTCAACTTATACTTGCATAAGAGCAGTCAATGGTCTGTTTTACAGTTGGCCCCTGGCCTTGTTCTGACTGATAATACTGAACTTCTCCATCGTCTCTTTCCATAGAAGTAATCAATTTGATTCTTGTGCATTACATCTGGCAAGGTCCATGTGTATAGTCAATGTTTATGTTATTGAGTAGTCACTGTTTATGTTGAAAAAAGGTATTTGCATTGAATATATCATTGGTGTTGCAAAATTCTATTATGTAATCTCTGGCATTGTTTCTATTACCAAGGCCATAATTTCCAACTACCAATTCTTCTTCTTTGTTTTCCAACTTTTTCATTCCAAAACCAGTAATTATCAATGCATTTTGATTGAATGTTTAGTCAATTTTAGACTGCAGAAGTGAATAAAAATCTTCATTTTCTCCATCTTTGGCTTTAGTGGTTGGTGTGTGAATTTGAGTAATAGTAGTGTTAACTAGTCTTTCTTGTAGGCATATGGATATTATCCTATCACTGACAGTCTGGTACTTCAGAATAGAATTTGAAATGTTCTTTTCGACATTGAATGTGACACCATTTCTCTTCAATTTGTCATTGCTGGCCTAGTAAACCATATGACTATCCAATTCATAATGGCTAATACTAGTCCGTTTCAGATCACTGATGCCCAAGATATTGATCTTTATGAGTTCTATTTCATTTTTGACAACTTACAATTTTCCTATATTCATACTTCATACGTTGAATGTTCTAATTATTAATAGATGTCTGCAGTTATTTTTAAAATTTATTTTAAGTCATGCTACATCAGCAAATGAAGGTCCTGAAAACTTTACTCCATGCACTTCACTGAGATAGACACTACTACTTTGAGGAGGCAGTTCTTCCTCAGTCATATTTTGAGTTCCTTCCAACCTGAAGGACACATCTTCTGGCACTATATCAGACAGTGTTTCCCTGCTATTCATAAAGTTTTCAGTAGTGTCTTGGTTCGCTAGTGCTTCTGTAACAGATGTACCACAAGTGGATGGCTTTAATAAACAGGGATTTATTATCTTGTAGCTTAGGAAACTAGAAGTCTGAATTCCAAGTACTAGCTCTAGGGGCTGGATGAAGGCTCCTCGACCTTGGGCTTCAGCTCTGCCTCCTGTTCCAGGCCCACTAGAGCTGGAGGCTTTTTCTGACTCACACAGCTGCTGGCTGCTGAAGCTATTGAACCCAAGATGGACCAGTAAAGTGGCATAGTCCCAAGATTTTGCAGACAATATAGCAGGCTACCTGTTCAACTCCAGGAACAATCTCAAGATCGGTGGGCAACATGGCAGGCCACTGAGATGAAGACTCAGCCAAGTGCAGGACCCAGATGTGCCAAAAGCTAGAGACTTTTCTCAAAGCTTCTCCTTATATACTAGAAGCAGGTCACACCTTGAAGGCAGCTACTCAGCTGCTCATAGCTGATTCCACCATGGAGTTGATTACCAATTTCATCATGAGGAATAACTACATCCAGCTGCCAAGCCACTCAAAACCATGGCCCAGCCAAGTTGACACACAACCTTCATTACCATAAGTGGCAATTTTTTCAGAAGTGGATCTGGCCACATCCTTCTTCCTAGTCTGTGAAACCTGTCCAACAGGGGTTACCCTGCTGGTATTTGAAATAGTAGTGGCATAGCTTCCAGCATCACAGCAATGTGCAAGCCACCACAGTACAACAAACTGATAGACAAGTGGTCACATGAGATCTATATGCAGTAAATCATTTAATCTTTATTATAACACTCTTCATAAATCATCATGATAACAATGATCGTGATAACAGCCATCCCTTTTTGGGAGGTGTTATGGATTGAATTGTGACCCTCCAAAAATATGTGTCAACTTGACCAGGCCATGATTCTCAGTATCAGGTAATTATCCTGCATTTTGCAGTCTGATACAATTATCCTGTGTGTTATAAATCCTAAACTCTATGATGTTAATGAGGCAGGATTAGAGCAGTTATGTT